TTTTTTTTTTTTTTTTTTTTTTTTTTTTTTTTTTTTAATTTTCTGTTTTTTTTTCCCCCAGTATCTGGAATCGAACTCAGGGCCTTGCCCTTGTGTGGCAGCTGCTGAGCTAGATCCCCAGTCCTTGTTACACTTAGTTTGATGGTAACATTTTAGCCTGCTCTAAACTGCTTGTTGCTTTCTCTGGCACCGGATGGTAGGCATAAGATCTGTAACACCCAGGTAAGATAAAAATCTTAGAACTTCAGCTTGTTGGCAGGTTTTGAAAAGATGTGTTCATGTAAATCCCTGTTTGCCTCTTTAATAGCTGCTATTTTGTAGTAACAGTAGGTGCTAATAGGCCAGCCACCTTACAAATTTATTATTTTAATGTTTTTAGTAACACTGGAGGGTAGTTGGTATTTTTTGTTTTATAAGTCAGAAAAATAACGTGCAAGGGAAGTGAATTTGCTTTAGGATAATCATAGCAAGTTGGCTATGCTGTCTCCAGATACTAAAAAGCCAGTGAACAGTTAATTGCCCATGGGTTAAACACTCAGAAAAAAAAGAAGCAGTGCTGTAACCGATTAATTGAAGAAATAGATAAAGTTCTGTGTGCCAGGATTGAGGCCTTCTGCTGCTTGTTCGCGGACCTCCGGGTGATAAAGGTCTGGCGCCTTTCTGTGTTTGGAGAAGACCGGGTAGGTCAGTTGCGCCCTTGCTTTTGTCTTCTGCTATTGGGGTGCAGCCCTGTGACCTGGAGCTTCTACTCCCGCCTGCTCCTGACTGTCTCAGAGGGAAGGAAGCAGTTTTGAATTTGAGTTCCCTGGTACAGGGGTGAACCCAATCTGTTTTTCCAGAGGCACAGTGACAGGTTCCAGTTGTAGCGTCTAATTCCTGGTCTCAGTGGTATCAGTGTAAACTGCAGTGGCTGAATCTTTTGTCTTTCCTGGGCCTGAGCTGTGGTTTGAGTTTTGGTGTTCTTGGCTGTGGCCTTCCAGCCTCTCCCCTTGAGGAGCTTTTGGTGAGTTGCCTGTTACACTTTGATAAGTTCCTTTCAGCCTAACAAAGCCAGTGGTAGTTTCTTTTGTTTGTAGCTAGAACCTTTACTTAGGTGATGCTAATTAAGATAATAAACAATTCTGAGGAACTCTCCAGGGTCAGGCTTACCTAGATCTAGATTAGATTTACTAATGAGAGGAGTTTACAGTATATATTAAGTGAAATACTTTTAAAGCAGCTTGCTTATGATTTAATTTGTTGAATTTGAATGTCTATTCTAAGCTAGAATATGTTCTAGGAGGGGCTATAGGAGTGACGAGCTTGCATTTTATTATAAAATGCAGAGAAAACAAAGCAGATAAGATAGAGAAATTGATCAGCGCTCTAAAAAATGAAGATGCTGATATGTGTATAATGGTGTATATATATGTGTTTGGGAGTTCTGTCTTTTTTTTTGGTGGTACCGGGGATTGGACTCGGGTCCTTGCGCTTGTGAGGCAGGCCACCGAACTGCTGAGCTAAATCCTCAGCCCCTCGTAGTTCTATCTTTAAAACATAAGATAATGTGGTTTGGGCCTGAAGATTTGGCCTATTGGTTCCACCGCCTCCCTTGCAAGCTCAAGGTCCTCAGTTTGATCCCCGGTACAGGAAAAAAAAAAAAAAAGGGTAATGTGGTTTGGGTGAACTTAATGTCACGGGGTCATGACTTGTGCCCTTGACTATGAGGCAGTAACATTTTTTTTCCTTTTTTTTGAGACAGAGTCTCACTGTTGTTGTTCAGGCTGGCCTTGAACTGGTAGTAGCATTCTCACTTTCCCCTGCTACCACAAACACCTGGAAAACTGGAGAGACCATTTTCGGATACTGAACAGTAGGCAGCACGGGGCTGATCTTGACAGATGGTGAGTGAAGCGAGGCCTGTGATGAGTGGCTCAGTGTTCCGACTGGAGGCACGGAGGGGATCCCGGTTAGAGCCACGTGGCCTCATTGAGTTGAGGAAACACGGAGTTGCGGGAGACCAAGGTGGTGTTCTTTGAGGAATAGAGTTCTAGAGAGGAGAGAGCTGTGTAGGAAAACAACTTTGTGCATCTACTTAGTGGTCGCTTTGTTAAGTGAAAACCGATCTGGGGAAATTGTAAGCAGGACAGTTCTCCGAGCTTATATAGGGCGGAGAATTATTTGTGTACTTTATAGCCATAGTGGAAAGATCTCATTAAACGCAAGGCTTGCTGACACCTTTGGAAGGCTAAATGAGGCCTAAAGTCAGTGCCACTCTGGATCTATCTGGAAGAAGTTTGAAGAGCAAACCTTGAAAGAAGCAAAATTATCTGGAAATAATGAAGTTGCCTACTATCACTGTGTCCAGCACTCTTGAATGAAATATGAGACAGATCCAAGCCAGGTGTGGTGGCACAGGCCTGCAATGCCAGTACTCTGGAAGGCTGAGGCAGGAGGATCTCAAGTTCAAGCCCAGCCTGGACAGCTTAGTAACTTACTGTGTCAGTTAAACTTCATTATATCAACTTGATTGGCTTGGAACTTCCTGGGGATTAGTGATGCACACTTCAGGATGTGTCTGGGTGGATCATAGGGGCCTGGTTTTGGATACTGTCTGTTACTTTTCTCTTGTTGCTGAGACAAAATACATGACACCCAAAGTTAAGGGGGGAAAGGGTTTATTTAGCTCACAGTTTGTAGAGGTTTCAGTCCATAATCAACTGGTTCCAAGGCAGGGTGACACGTGGCAAAGGGGCAACAACAGTTCATGGCAGTGGAAGATGGCAAAAGCAACAAGGGAACTTAATAGCATCTTCTGCCCCTTTTATTCAGACGACTTAGGGTGGGTAGCACTCATGCCTTTATCCTCGTGCCCTTAAGTCTAGCATTGCACTTGACTTATTTCCCGCTTTATACACGCTAGATCGAGCCACCTCTGCAAAAGCCTGTGACCACGTGAGGCTTTGAGGGGACAGGTAGACACAAACCATAACAGATACCCTACTAGGTCCCTGCCCCATCCTCTCTGGGGCCGTTCCCGTTGTGCCCCACATACCCTCCTGCTGTATTTCTGCCTTGGAGCCAGCCCACCAGGTACTGAGTCCCCTGACAACGCGCGAGCCATGTTAAACCTGTGTAAATTATGAGTGTTGGGTATTGTGTCCTAACAACAGGAAAGCTTACTGGGGGGAAGTCCCAGTATCCAAATCCAAAAATAAAAAGGACTGGGGGAAAATAAAGGAAATATAATCAATCCCAACATCCATTCATGTGAAATGTTCAATATTACAGCTGCTTACAACTTCCCCAGATTGGTTTTCACTTAAACAAAGCGACCCCTAAGTAGTTATAGATCACTAAATGTATATAAAGGAGCAGGTTGATGGGACTCATACCTAGGAAGTCACTCAGCTGCTGCAAATCTGGAACTGACCTAGATGTTAGAGTTAACAAACCAAGGACAGCAAAAGCAGTTCTTCAGAGAGTTAGGCACAGATAGAGAAGGTGTTGTCAGTGACCTGGGACAGGGGAGCGAAGACTGTCACATGGGAGTACACTGGATGGCATTCACGGCAGATCACACATTACAGGAAAGGGGTGGGTGAGAACCTGAACCCAGGCCTCGGTTGATGGAAATGCCAGCCGTGGAAGGAGCAGGCACGGTTGTTAAAATGCAGTGTTAGGCGGTGGTGAATGCCGACATCTTGGTGTGTGTTTGTGATCACAACCTGAAGTTGACTTGGTGTGTAGTTAGAGTGATTGAAAATGAGTACTCCAGCACAGCAGCAGGGTGTGGACAAGGTTCACCACATAGTAAGAACACCACGAAGTTACCAGCTCAGAGCCCACACAGACAGACATTGATTTTCCCCGTCTCTGTGGGTCTGGTGTGTGGGCGCGCTTGCTGGGTCCTCTGCTTTAGTCTTGGAAAGCTGTAAAGACGTTGGCCAAGGCTCCGGTCTCTTCTGGGACTTGAGAAGGCTGTGGTTGTTGGCAGTTTGGCAGTTCAGTAGTCTGTTCCTACGGCTGTCAGACTGTGCACCTGAGTTTTCTTGCTGCCAGTCAGTGCGCGTCTGTCTCGAGTCCTTGCCGCATGGTTCTTTCCCGTGTGGCCCCTCACTTCCTCACAGCCTGCAGTCTGTGTCCTTACTTGTGGGAGTGACATTCCATTACTTGGGCGGGAAGCTGTTGGTCCCACATGCAGGGGAAGAGTCTGCACAAGGATGTGGGCACCAGGCCGTCGCTCACGAGTGGTGTAGGACAAGTGTGTTCTGGCTGTGAGTCCTAACTGTCCTTTCCCAGCTGTGTGATGCCCGAGCCTCAGTCTCCCTGTCCGTAAGTAAGGGTAACTCTTCTCTCCTATTTATAGTTGTGAAGAGTAATTAATACGTGTGAAGTGCTTAGGACTTTGCCCTGTAACTCCTTCCCATCTTTAGGTCTTAGGTCGTGTGTTTGGGGAAGCCTTCCCAACTCCTGTTAGGTGATGATGACTCTCGCTCCCCTGTACGTTAGCTTTTTATTGGTTAGTCTCTGCTTCCTTTAAACTGAGCTGGTGGAGAGCAGGGCCTTGCATTTGGTTTGTGGCTGGGTCTTCAGGGCTTCCTCACCCCTTAGCTGTTGTTGACTGGCTGTGAGAAATGCACAGTCAGTGCATTAACTCTCCTGTGTTCTTCCAGGCACTGGGGAAGTTGGTCTAAAAGGCAGTCCCTCTGTTTCTGAAGATGGTCAGCTGCCAGCAGGTGAGTTTCCACAGTGTAACAGTCTTAATAGTTTTCACATTCACAGAGGTTTGCAGAGTGGATGCTGCATAGTGCTAAACAAACGAAGAGTCTGAAGTGATGAGGACCCTAGGAATAGATAGAGACCAGTCTTGGTGGAGCTGAATCAGGACACACTAGGGAGCTCCTCTCCCTGCAGTGTGCTCCGCAAACCCCTTGATCGTGAGCTGTTGCGAGGGAAATAAAGCTCGGAGAAGAGAACTTTCTTGCAGTGTGACAGCTCACACGAGCACGTTACAGGAAGCCCTCTGCACAGTCTTTACTAAACTTGCTCCTAACTCTTTAGAAACAAACACATCACAGCTCAGGTGCTGTTTTCATGTAACCTGTGGTGGCAAATCAGATGCTTAGAGGTGAAGTAATATTGGCTAAATCACACAGTCGCTGGTATGGGCGCATTCATACTAGGCTTTCTCCTTGGCTCAGTTTTATTCTGTATTGCTTCTGTGGGCCACAGTTGAGCAAGAACGAGCGTAACTGTGACAGCGGGGACCGTGTACATCTTGCTTATCTGATAGCACGTAGCTCGATGAAGGGTTTCTTGTATTATTTATACTGTTATGTGAACATCCTAATTTGAGTCACTTGAAAACGTAAAGAAAGTTTAGTGGATAGCAGTTAATATGATCCAACTAGTGTGAGTGTAATAAAACGTAATTATGCCTTTGCTTTTTGTGACTGGATAGTTACGTCAAGAAATATGTGGTTTCTTGACTCCTTGTAACTCCTCTTCTACCACTTTGAAATCACTTGTACTGCAAGTCATCTTGAGTTGTTTCTGAAATAGTTTTCACTTAAGTTCTTTCTTAATATTATTGTTAATGACCTCTATAGCTCTTTAGTCTGTGCTTCCTGTATAATTTCTTAGGTACAATTCCTTATTTATTTTTTATTTTTGAGATGGGGTGTTCCACTGTTGTCCAGGCTGGCCTTGAACTCGTGACAGTCTTCCTACCTCAGCCTCCTGAGTGTTGAGGTTACAGGCGTGTGCCGTCTTGCCTTGGCAGTTCTTTATTAAAAAAAATTTTTTTTTTTTGGTAATGGGGATCGAACTTGGGTTCTTGCACTTGGGAAGCAGGTGCTGGAACCACTGGGCTAAACCCTGGCCCAGTTTTTTATTTTTAATGTTCATATAATAAAAAATGTATACTACTTAGTGGAAAGCTTACAGTGAAAGCCAGCTGTGCTGGTCACACCTCCCTGCTTCCCAGACCTACTATACAGAGCTAGGCCTTTGCAGACAAAACGAGAGAGGCAGTTTCAGGTCCTTCCTGAGGTCTTTGAGGGTCTTGGCACACCAGGAATACTTGCAGTGCTGTGTGACCCGCGCAGCAGTGACAAACTCTGCTGTGGAGGCAGTTACTTTCATTTCAAGCAAAGTTCCTGTGCTCCATCTCTGTTTCTAAATAATGTGTTTATTAAATTAGGGTGCTCTCAAGTGCAGTTATTGATACCCTGAACCGAACTGGTTTCAGGTAAAGGGATTTCACTCACTGGTAGAGCTTGCAGAGGAGCTTTAAGAGCTGTCTGATTTAGTGACAGTAATGTAGGTCCCAGATATTTCCATGTCCCCCTTTAGTCTGGGATGGGTCCTATGCTCAGATTAATAAGGAGACCGCAGGCAGAAGTTGTATTCAAAGAATGATATCCAGAGGAAGAAGACAAACACTTTCTTCTTCTTGTAGCTGGGTAAAAGTGGACACTTTGCCCGGAAACGTCTTAGCAGACTTACTGGTTAAGTATCTGTTTCTGAAACACTCCTAGGAAGGCAAATGGGCTACATGAGACCCGTCGGCTGGCCCTTGGAAGTGGGCGCCTTGTGCTTTCCCTAAGCGCATCCTTGAGTGGCAGTGGTATGCAGATGTGTCCTGAGCAAAGTGAGCCTCTGTTGCAAAGGAAGAAGGGCATTTTGGAGGAGTTTGGGTGGTAACTTTGATCCTTGTTTTGTAATTGACTTAAAATGTAAGGTGTTATCTATTGCTCTTGGGCCTTTTGGCTAAGATCAAGTGTAAGATGTTATCTATTGACTTTTGTATCAAGGTAGATGGATATTTAACTTTAATCACCTGCTCACACTCTTCTTCCATCTGTGCATTGTAGTTGCATGAAATTTACTTTGTTGTTGTTTTGGTTTCTTTTTTTTGAAACTTTCTGGCTGTGTAGTCTTGGGCTACATAGTGTCCATAAGGATGCAGTGTTGGCCTCCATAATGTATCTTTTCTCAGGAAGTGTTGAGAGATACACTCCAGCAACATGAAGGGTAAAACAAAAAGGCCAGAGAAGCAGAAACAGGAGATTGAAGATTTTTGGGAGACTTCCCAAAAGACTTTTACACCCAGAGAGCAAGAATTTCAGATTTCTTAAGAGGAAAAAAGTAACTAATTACATGGTGTGCCTAACTGTACAGAAAACTATATTGAGAGGTTACTAGAAGAATGAAAAAACTTAACACACAAGTACCTAGAAAATAAAGCAAGTGGAAATAAGGAACACTGCTCATTCTAGGGAAAACCAAATTTTAAAAGGAAAAAGATGTAGTCACAGAATAAAGTTTGGCTTATTGTAAACAGTGATTACTGTTTTATAAAAATTTATAAACCAGGCATGGTGGCGCATGCCTGTGATCCCAGCATCTAAAGGCTGAGGCAGGAGGATCTCCACAAGTTTAAGGCCTGCCTGGACTACTTAATGAGTTCAAGACCAGTCTGAACTACCTAGGGAGAGCTTGTCTCACCCCCCCATTCAAATTGGCAGCTGCCTTGATTGCCTCATAATTACATATTTAAAGTAGTTCATTCAAAAATCAGTTTCTATCTAGGATCTGTAAATTATCATTGGTTTCTTTTAATCTATTAGTTGCTTTTCTATTTTATTTTTTCTCTTTGCACTGTACTTGTTGAAGAAATATATTACTGCTGGGGATTTACCTCAGTGGTTCTGGTTCCTGCCTCACAAGCGCAAGATCTGAGTTTGATCCCTGGTACCAAAAAAAAAAAAAAAATCATGTACATAAATATATTTCCTATCTTGTAGCCTGCTGTGGTCTTGATGTTTTGCAGTGAATTTTTTTTTTTTTTTTTGGTACCGGGAGTCGAACTCTGGTCCTTGTGCTTGGGAGGCGGGCCACGGAACCACTGAGCTAAATCCCTGGCCCCCAGTGAATTCTCATAGTGTCATTGATGTGTTTCTTTATCCCTCGTGTGTGTCTCTTATTGTATACATAGTGTCATACACGTGCTTCTCTTCTGCCTGTCCCTGGGCAGTAAGATCTAGAGACTTGATAAAATTGCTTTAGCTTCTTTGTCTTTATGAACGGGGAAGTGAATGGGGAGATGTCATGACTGGGATATTTGCTTTCAGAGCCACAAAGTATGACTCTGATGTTTTTACAGCCACTTAGTATTGTACTATAAAACCGGGAGCGTATCAGGAGTTTTCATTCTTTTTACATGATCTCTACCCCTTTAACCCTCCCTTCCGCCTCTTCTCTTTGAAATTCTGAAGATCTGTTCTTTGCCTTGTGTTTTGAAGGTTTTGTTAGTGATGCATTTTAGCACAGGTTTTTTATTGCATTGGATCCATTCTTTCACTTTGGAGGAGCATATCCTTTAGTCCTGGAAAATTTTTGTGTATAATGTCCTTGATGATTTCTTCCTGTTTTTCTCAAGTGTCATGTATTTTTGTCATACTATTTTCTATTTTTTTAATCCCTTGGTAGATACTTTTCAACTGTATTTTCTTAGTACTTTTCTTAGTACTCCTTTTTTTTTTTTCTTCTTTTTTTGCACCACCAGTATCTTATTTTCACTTAGTGGATAAATATACATTGCATAACAGTTAAATACCCTTTTCCCTTCATGATATTGATTGAGTTTTTGCTGTATTCCTGATTCTCTGCTTGCTTTGGTTTCTGGCAAGACCCCCCCCATTTTTTTGGAGACAGGTTGTGCTGTATTGCCTAGGTTGATTTCAGACTTCTGAACTCAAATGGTCTTCTTCTTCCTCAGTCTTGTGAGTACCTGAGGCTACAAGGTTCATACGACCCTGTCTTTGATATTGTCAGCTTTCTTTAAGTATTTGGGCAAGAGACCCGTGCCGTTTTTTAATTTTGGCAGTCCCTGGGCCTTTGGCACGAGGCGCAGCTGCTCCAGTACAGTGCTACATCCCTGGCTCTCCTGTAGTGCTGTTAATGGTTCAGGCTGGGATTATAAATCTTACGCCTTGGGGAGAGGGAATGTGTGAATCTGCTGACTTTCTGCAAGCTGAACTCTTGGGTGCTGGGGCTGCAGTGCACAGCTGTGTTTAGTGACTGACTCTATTTTTAGTATTCTTTTTTTCTTTTTGGTTTTTGAGACAGGGTCTCACTATGTAGTTGAGACTGACCTGGAAACTCACTTTGTAGCCCAGGCTGGTCTGGAACTCACAGCGATCCTCCTGCCTCAGCCTCCTACGTGCTGGGATTACAGGTGTGCACCACCACTCCTGGCACTGTTTTTAGTATTGCGCTGTAAACCTGTTTTTTTCTTGGTTATGAGGTGAGGTAAAAACATACAGTGAATGCTTACATAAATTTATTACAGTAAAAGACTATACTACTAATTCCCTTTAAAATACTGTCCCTCTCAGCCTGGCGTGGTGGCGCATGCCTGTAATCCCAGCACTTGGGAGGCTGAGGCAGGAGGATTGCTGTGAGTTCGATTCAATCTCAACTAAACAGTGAGACCCTGTCTAAACAAAAAAACAAACTGTTGAATACCGTCCCTCTGTATGAACACACTTGTCCCATCTTTCTTGCCACTCTCTGATGCAGTTCTGGAAGTCTTCCGTGAGTGTCTTTATGAATTGTGGTAATGCAGTGAATGCAGGTGCTGTAAAAGTATTGTGCTGTGTCCTTGTCCACCTTATTCACCGGATCTGGCACTGGTAGCTTCTGGCTTTCCCCAAAGTCAAAATGATCCTGG